TTGGTGGTGATCTGCTAGAAGTCGTTCAGGAATTCAAGTACCTAAGCAGCTATATTAGCACCCGTGGGATTGAAGATGAGGTTATGAACCGTATAGCAAAAGCTCGAGGTGCATTTGCCAATCTCCGCCACCTGTGGCGCAGACGCGACAATACTCTTGCCCTGAAGGGCAGAGTTTACAACGCAGCCGTCCGTTCTACTCTCCTATATGGCTGTGAAACCTGGCCCATCAGGTCGACAGACATAAAGAGGCTCGCCATATTCGATCACCGCTGCCTTCGCAGCTACACGAACACAGCCTAGCCATACGTCGCCACGATCAGAACTCTCTGATGTCAGTGCACATGGATGCTGAGAACCATCAATTCGACATAGAGCATACCAGTATCCTCGGAAGGGCTAAAAGCCGGCAAGCACGTGAGTTCATTGAAGCCTGGCATTCAAAGCAGAACTCGATCAATAAGCTCTTGGACATTGAAGTCGCTTACGAGGCACTGCGAACCAGGCCCCTGAAACCGCACTGATGATGTTGCCTAGTCAGGCAACGAAACGTCTGCACAATAATCACTCAGCTCGGAGAACCGCTCAAAATCCGCAGCTTAGCTCATGTCCGGTGGGGACACCGCGTGAGCAATGAGCGTGTCCGACGTCGCGTATTTGATGCACGAAGAGCGAGTGAACCGCTCAGCACCAATATATCACGCACCAGGCTCCGATGGCTGGGACACGTGCTGCGCATGCCAGCACACCGACTCCCGCAACGTGCATTGTTTGCGCGTTGTGGGTGCGGTTGGAAGAGGAGGAGGGGAGGCCAAGTGATGACTTGGTCGAGAGAGATGAAAACCCTCACTTCGAAGTTGGCGTCGGTTGGTGCATCCCGACTGCTTGGCTGGGGTCCTAAGGACGGTGAACACGTTTGGTTGGACACACTTGCTGATATGGCTAGAAGCCGGCCCCAATGGCGTTTGTGTTGTGAGTTCCTTTGTCCATCCCCCTCCTGCTTAGCATCCCCCTCCAATCACGACATCACTTGTTAGGCATAATGTGACTCTTTTACGGCAGCCAGCTGTTAGCTCTCTGGAACGATGTCCATCCGTTACTAGGGACTCAGCGGGCGTGCCACCGCTTTCCTTTTCTTGTCTTTTGTATTGCGGCACAATAACTGAGGTGTTTTCCACCTCCAGCTAACGTGTAATGATGATGATGTGTTCAGTCCGTGGTAGAATGTGTCCTTGGCAGCATCAGAACTGCACTCGGTGGGAGCGTAAGCGGAAACCGCAAACAAACAGCGTTTCGTACTTATTCGTGAATCAACCTTGATCGATGTCGTTAAATGGGCTGCACGCAAACGGCTGTTCACCAGAATCCAATCAAACAATGGTGACCAAGCCTTCGAGCTGAGTAAGATATCTATCCCAGCTTGATCAGAGGCTGCCGCATCAGTGTCGTCAAATGCGTGCAATCAATAGTGAGAGGACAAGCCGGGTGCAGTAAATTCAACAACCCCATGGGAGTCATTGATCATAGTTTTGGATACGCAACATAAAGCAATACCCAATGTATGCAGTAGGCGTGCGAGTGAAGCCTGTTGACCTATTTATCTTAGAGTGCGAAAGTTGAACGCCGCCAGGGAAACGGGACATCGTTGCCTTATAAGGGACTGTTGCCGATAGGCATCCGATTGGGGTTGTGGGAAGGTGGCTGCAGATGGTCCCACTCCAGTGGCACTTCGATTGCTGTCAACTAAACTGGGAACAATAGAAGGAAGGTATTAAGGGTTCGGAGGGGAGTAAGAGAAACAGGTGGAAACGAAAGGAGGCGCCGGTAGTAGCATGTTTTCGCTTATCCGCCCTGCTGTATGCAGCAGATAAGGTGGTTCTTGATAATCTGCGCGACGGCCGATACAGAATGTACTTAGTGTTTGAGGAAATTTTCATGGTTGTATGGACTGAGACACTGTCAGGACGCCCAGACTTAAACAGGAGGACCATTAGGGTCCTCAACCAAAAAGTCTGTCTGCAAGGCAACGGGGTGGTGTAGTGACGGTTTTACAGTAATGGGCGCCATACCATTTCAAACCCCTACCCTAGAGAATCAGTAGACTGAGTTTGTTTGACCCGTAACCCTTGACAAACCTGGTAGTAGTTCTCAGGGGGCCCAGGGGCACCACCCAGTATAGCTCAATGGGTCGAAGAAGTACGCAAACCGTAGCACCACGTTAAAGTCCAGTCTCGCTGCGACTCATGATTCAGCTGACGTGCCACGGTTTCAGGTTATTTCTCTTCATTTCCCAAGTATTGCGGCACAGTAGCTGAGGTGTTCTCTACCCCTAGCTAACGTGTGTGTGATGATAATGATGGAAATGAATATGATGAGACCACTGCTTCCGCGGCCGAGTAATACCCGGGAATGAGCCGGACTAGACAGGTGACCGCCACCAAGTACCTCAGCTAACCCGGCGATGTTTTTCATGCACACTTCACAAGCCGCCTAACGATTATTTCAGGGTTTCACCCAACTAGGCGCAGTACTGGAAGGGTTCGCACTCGAGTTGGGTGGAACAGTCCAATTAAATCAGGACCAATGTGGATACTTAAAATAGAGAGCGAGAAGATAAAAATCAGTGTTGCTCCATCGTAGGTGGATCGGGCACTTGCGCGGAATCACGTCTCTGGTCCTGCGCGGTTGTAGCCTATTACAGTTGCACTACATCTTATCCAGGTGCGATACGCTCCCTATACCTGTAATCAGCAAAGTGGGCGTCAAGGAATCTTTTAAATGCCGACACCGATCTCGCCTCGACTAGGGTCTCCGGCAATTTGTTTCAATATCTCACCACACGACGCTCGAGGCACAGAGAGTGAGCGGAACGCTTCAGATCCGGTACCACGAGTTTGTACCGGTGTCCGCGTATGCTGCTTGGTGCGCGAACGTGCAGCAGCTGCCTCAGCATAGAGAAGTGGCCCAGGCGCAGTATCCGGTGCGTCATAGTGAGATCAACGAAGCCGACGATATGACACGGTATAAAGCCCTAGTCTCCTACATCGGTCCTCGTATGACACCCAGTAAACTGGGGATGAGCCAGGTAGCTACATGCTGAACCCGTTCGGGTATCTGCACCTCACCCGTTGTGAGATGATGAAATACAAAGCCAAAGTAAGAAGGGGAAGGATTACTGACAAACGAGTATTGTGTATGATAATCTCCGGCTGAACATCACGAGAGACAATTTCGTTCGAGATCATAACCTCTAACCTTTGACGTCCTTAGTTCGAAGTTGGCCTCGGTTGGAGCCTCTCGACTCCCGGGTTGGAGTCCGAAAGACGAGGAACACGTTAGGCTGGACACACTTGAGACACTAGGAACAGACCTCAATGGCGTTTGTGTTTTGAGTTTCTTTGTTATTCCCTCTTCAACTTAGCCTCCCTAGGCATAATATAATGCTTTGTTTGTGGCACAACAGCCGATTGGTAGCTCGCCGGAACGATGCTCATTCGTTACTGATGGCTTAGCTGGCGTGCCTCTGTTGTGCGTTTCTCTTCTTTTCTTAGGTATTGCGGCACAATAGCTAAGGTGTTTTCCACTTCTGGCTAACGTGCACAATGGTGAATGTTAAACCGACGCAACAGTAAGACACACAAAGCAGTGATGAGCATATCCCCTTGGAATTTGCTTGAGATTTATCACAAGGAGCCTTAGAAGGGCTTTTGACCACAGTTAACTAGGCACTTGCGACCACGATGAACCGAAGATGGGAGTTCGCGGGTATGAATCTTTTAAACCGGGGCCACATAACACCAGGCAAGGGGAGGCAAACCAATGGGATCTTTTAACACTAGAGATGATGCGTGGTGCTCTTGCTATACGCTAATCGAGCTGTGAGCTTCTGATGTGTAACCATTAACTCTCATGGTTAGATTTCGAAGGATGAGGATAATCGATCTCTTTTCGATTTCCGAAGAAGAGGATACCAAGGCTAAACCGAGCTGTCCCACATGAGTGATGCTGAAAGCAACTAGAAAGTGCCACTCGGTGTAGCTGTTACAGTTTAGCAATTGTCGTAGTAACGCACAGTGAGTTGCTTTTAAGCGAAGTATCACAAAGCAAAACAAGTAACGCACATGGAAGGCAGAACTGTATTCTAACCGGCATGTTGTAAAACGCATTGTTTTACTTTTCTGAACTAGGTTAACCAACAAATAAGTGAGCGGGTTACTGACACGCTAGCAAATGCAGGCAATGTATAGAAAGGGCTCAATACATTGGCCGTGATGATGCCACAGTAGCTCAACAAACCACATGAATACGCATTATCACATCACATTAAATCAAGATCCAGCATCGTCGCAACGGTCCGAAATAGAACCTGGTCGAGGTACACACTCCAGCAGTCGCTCATGACATCTTGTTTACCGGCGTCCCATATATCAGTTTTACGGATTTGTCTTATGTAAATATCTGCTGCGAAAATGCTACGCAGCACATACTGATGATATCACCTAGAACAGTGACGAAACGGCTGCTAACTGCCCACTTGGGAGAGCAATGCAACAACTGAACAGCATACCCGAGGGTATCAGTAATCCGAATTAATTCGGAGATGAAATGAAGATATTGAGATGGTGGCAAGTGGCTACCGAAAAGAGCTTACCTGAGCAAAACAGCCGCTTCAGTTAGCTAATATAATTAGCACCGTAAAATATGATAAAGATACAATCGAGATAACCAAAGGAAGCTTAAAAATAAAGAAACACTTAACGCAACTATTATAAAGCTACATGAACGACCAGTGACGCCCCTGAGTTCAGTGCGTCGCTTACGGATGACACTTCCTTCTGAAGAGTCCAGTTCTTGCAGCCATACTTCAATTGGCTTGCATATATGTTTGAACATTCTTCTTCAAGTTGCGAATCAAAGGGTCCGGACCCACAAGGTTAAAATGCTGGGACCAAAGCCGAGTAAAGGGACCGAGTTGAAAAGACCAACTAATACTAAACCTACCTACAGACAGTTTGATGAAGTTTTTCTTGCAAATCGAGTAGGCTATTGAGCCTAGTTTCATCCATCACCACGTTACGGAGGACAGCTGCGACAACGAATGGTCGAACAGATTGTGTCTGTAAATGTGCTCAAAATGAAAGTGGTTGTTACCGCCGATCGAACTGTCAAACTGATGGGATTCTTCACTTCTAACCGCCGATAATGTGGAAGCTCTGAACTGAAAGAAATGAGAAAAATGAGGACAAACCTAGCGTTGAAAATCATCAAAGCCCTAGTAATACCCTCTGGACACAGCAGATCGTACCGATTGGCTGGGACTTCAACTTTAAATAATTTTTCTGAACTACAGTTTGCAGCTTTATCTCTTCCTTGCTCACGAGCAACTAAATCTTTTTCCGAAGTCTTGTTAAAATACGTAAAGAAACACCGCACGTACAACTTCATCCAGTTCAAGTCCAAAACGAAAGCACAACTCATCAAATTCTTCGTCAGCTGGAACAAATGGTAAGTACCAGAAAAACGCACTATACTCTCTCCCCAAATGCGCGTAGAGAGCACCGGCAGGTATTGAAACAACCGGCATGGTATGAGTGACAAGTGAGAGCAATCGCTCGGAATTCTCTAAGTTTTTTGGTTAATGCAATTGTGCGCCAGAACGCTAAAATGAAGAACAGAAGATGGTTCAGTTAAACTGGACTGGTTAACCATAACCCGAAATGCGAGGTGAGGTAGATGCAGGTACCACGGCCAGAACACCTATCTCAGCTAATGTCGCCCTAACCGAGGGATTCATTAGACTCGTGTTGCGAATGACTTAGACCAGTATTCGACTGTTACCAATAGCACTGGCTTTCTCTATCTCACGGACCCTTTGACATCCATGAACATTCCCAACCAATTCGAAGTCTCCTTGTCAGTCGTTATTTCACACAGGGGAATCTGTTAGCGTGTTTCGGTCAACCTGGTCAGTGCCACAAAAGTCCGTTCGCGGTTCGGATGTTGTAAGTTGGGTATACAACGGGCTTCAAAGAGATTTTTTATGGTACAGTAACCAGCCTATTCATCACGTCTATTGCTGATAATTGGCGAGCCAGTACTTTGTGACATAGCTGAATTGCAGATTGAATCCGGGATAAGCTAAAACTCAATGGAACTCGCAGCCCCCTCCATCGAAGTTGCACCGATGATGTTAATCACCCTGATAATGGGATGCCTGCAGTTAAAACGCTGCCCGGAGTGCAACTAAACACCGTCTGACATCAACAATGCTTAACAGCCACCGTAGTCTGAAATAACCGGCACGTAAATGTTGCTACAGCATGAAAACCAAAATCCTATCTGCAGTCGATGCGGTTGTACGGAAAACTATACACCAAAAAAGAGAACCCCATGGAAAAAGTGTGGGACACATACGCAGAATAATTCACTTGTTGCCACACTTTTCACCGTATTACAGTTGTGTACAAAATGATGATGCATATTCTAGGAGTCGCCACGGAGCAAGGTGGTATCATCAGCATAGTTCAAGTCAACCGCGAGATTGTTTGGAAGAAGCTTTGCGCCATAAACCTGGATACATTTCAGAGCGCGCCATCAAGGTTGTCCACGCACCCACCCACCCCTTGGGTACTCAATTCTGGCCGCAGAAATGAATGGTCAGGAACGCTGTATGCTGTTGACAAAATGTGTAGGCACCTTGACTCTGAATGTTTGTGTAGGACATTACGCTAGGTCCCCCTGCTCTCCCTTTATTGTTCTTCGTTCCGCAGGCCACCATGGTTGTACGAAGCATCAGTTCAAGTGGCTGACGAACTGCTGTTGATGAGAATGATGAGTGGAATCAGTAGCACGCCGGTACACAGTGCCAACGCTTCGTTGCCGCGCAGCCACCACCAGTCGCACGGGAGTTAAGAATATCGCGAGGGTCGTGCAGTCCCTATGCAGCCTCGAACCCGAGTCCTCGGATTAAAAGAATGATGAGTGACCACGTAGCCGGTCATTTTGGCTTTGACACATCGTCTTACGAGCCAGGTGACCAGCCTAGGACCCGCCACGTTCTAGGACGCAGATGCTGATTGTCCGCGACTGCTTATTTATCTCATCCTAGAACAGTCAACATTTATTCAGTTAATTTCGTAAGAAAGGGGTTCCCCTATCCACAACTTGGAAAGCCGCACAGTGGCGTACAATTCCGCTAATCAACCGGTGGTAAGGTTACTTACGGCCATGCTGGTCCACCAGGCTTCCTTGTCAGCATGTACGCACCGCCTTACTTCACGCTTCATAGTCCACATGTTCAGATCATGTAAGAGACCAGGGACAATATAGACTCCCGCCTAACGAGCGTCCTGTTTCTTGTGCCAAAAGCAAACCAAGGCCTCCGGTACTTTGACGTTTGGGTTGCTCAACTTGTCCCTGAAAAAATTGCGAAGCAAGAAGAGAAGCAACATCGTACTTTCGTGGATCATGGAATGCGTGCTGCAAGATTGGTAGGAGCTCATCCCTACGCTGAGAATCGGTGGGGAGCAGCTAAAGTCATCGAGAAACTCAAGTACCTTGGCAGCTATATCAGCGCCAATGGAATGGAAGATGAGATCACCAACCGCAGAGCGAACTTTCGAGGTGCTTTTGCCAATCTCCGCTACATGTGGAGCCAGCACGACATCACTCTCACTCTGAAGAGCAGAGTATACAATGCAACTGTCCGGCTAGCCCTCATGTACGATTGCGAAACCTGGCTCATCAGATCGACAGACATAAAGAGACTAGTCACGTTCGATCATCGCTTCCCTCACAGCCTGGATCATGTCTGGTGGGAGCACCGCGTGGGCAATGAGTGTGTTCGATGCCGCGGACATGATGCAGGAAGTACGAGTGCACCACTCACTACCGTTATTTCAAGCACCAGGTTCCAATGGCTGGGACACATGTGCGCATGCCAGCACACCGACTCCCACGTGGTGTGCTGTTTGCACGCCGGGGGTGTGGATGTAAGAAGACAGGAGGTCAATCGATGACTTGGCCAAGAGCAATGATGGCTGTCACTTCGAGTCAGTTGGCGTCTCTCGACGGTCGGGCTGGGATCCAAAGGACGATGAACACGTCTGGCTGGATACACTTGCTGACAGGGCAAGGAGCCGACCTCAATGGCATTTGCGTTGAGTTTACTTGTCGCTCCCACACTCGCGTATCTTACCCTCCCAACCACGACCTCTGTCTTGAAGCATAATATGTTACTAGGCAGTATGTTACCGGTCGTTTTGGTTTTCTATGATGTTTAGCATTTCATTTTTTCATACATCTACACGACTCGCAAAGAAGTTGGCCTTAACTTCTAGTATGGACCTCTGATGCTTAAGCTGAAGTCCATGTCCCGAAGGTGGTCGGAAGGTCTGATACCACTGACACCATTCACAATTTTGAACATTTCTATCAGGTCGCTTGTCAATCTGCGCCGTTCCATGGTAAATAATCTTAGGCTCCTTAAACGTTCATATGACTTCTCACACTGCCCCACAATCATGTTAGTCGCCAATTGGACTTTTTCCATGAAAGCAACATCCCTCCGAAGAGAAGGTACCCAAGCCTGCACACTCTAGTGATGCTGTACCAAAGCATGACGCTCTCCTGAGATGGAATACCTCCTGCTGCGCCTTGTTAGCTGCGTGCTGACACTGTGCTGATGGTTTAAAGTTTCGTCACAATGACAGCCAGGTCACCTGTTTCAGTAACACACCGCAGTGTCAGGGTACCGGCAGTAGTTGGTACTGTAATCCCGCCAATGCTAGAAGATAATAGATGAGATTTTTTGGTAGTAAGAGGCAAGTCCCACAAGGACGATCACCACGTCACAGTGCAAAGATAGCGTGTTACAATTGCCCTTATTTACGAGTTTTACATCGTCCGCAAAGTTAAGCCAAGAGTTTTCAAGGAGAGCAGCCAAGTCATTTATGTACATAATAGAAGCTTGGGAAACACCGTGAGCGGTGCCTGTGCTTGATCCCTCCTTGCCGAATTTATTTTTTGCCATTGTTAGAAGAAAATAGTTGTTAGTTTTAATGTTTTCATCCCACCAGTTCACATGCTACATAGCATAGCCTAGTGCGGAAAAGCACCAGACGCGTTTCGCCCTATTGAGGCTCGTCGGTGGTGCGCATTCTCTCAGTCTCCTAATAGGGATCGAACCCATGACCGCTAGAGGCAGATGCCAGCTAACCGACAGCTTAAGCCACTGAGCCACGGGGTCGGCAGCTGGGCAACATGATTAGCAAGCTAACTGGGATATAGCACAGCCTATCTTTCACTGCCACGCAGATTGCTAATTAATTAATTAAAAATTACAACTAAAATCCTATTCAGAAGTAATATAAAATGTACTCTCACCTAGTTTCAAATGCTATGTAGATGAAGTCATAGCCTGCAGGCTAGCCACTGTCATCTGCAAGGGTAGTAACCTGCATGGCAATGCAAGATAGGCTGTGCTATATCCCAGTTAGCTTGGAAATTATGTAGTCCAGCTGCCGTCTCCCATGGCTCAGTGGCTCAAGCTGGTGGCTAGTTGGCATCTGCCTTTAGCCATGGGTTCAATCCCCATTAGGAGACGGAGACAATGCGCACCATTGGCAAGCCCCAATAGGGCGAAACGCGTCTGGTGCTTTTCTGGATTGTGACTGAGCTATGTAGCTTGTGAGCTGCTGGGATGAAAACATTAAAACTAACAAATAAAATCCTCCTACTAATAATATTTGTAATAATATTTGTGACTTCACTAACATACAAATACTAAAGATATTCTGTACAAAATACACGACATATAATTTTGCGTATGATGCAAAAACTTGACATCAAGCACAAGTAGGCAAATGGTGACACAACAAATTTCCCAGTCACCGATATGTAAACAGACTACTGAAGCAGCAACTGGTCAACTCCTCTTGTCCACAATCCCGATTGTAAAATCTATTGCGTAACAAATAAGGAGGAACAGTGTTACTCGTGAAATTCTCTAAAACAGTTCTTCGTCTTGCTAAGGCACAAGTGAGCATTACACTTTGTGCGCCTGATTACTGTCTGTCCCGTACGATTTAGTCATTTGCACCGCTGCGCGCACCATCAAGCACTGGCCAGTGACCCACAGAATCTGACCGGACTTACAGTGATGAAATAGCTTGAGTCGGAACTCGGCGTTTCTTCCTTTTTAGCTCCGTTTATATTGAGGCTGAAGCCGTCCCCTCTTCGTTGATATGACTGACTTTCATAAGCAGTGCCTATGCAAAAGATAGTCTGAAAGCAAGCAAGCAAGCCTTTTTGTTTCTGTAGTGGTACAGCCAGGCAGTCGTAATCACGTCGATAGAGTAAGCAGCTGTTGACTGATAGCATATCGACAAAATGGAAGAAATCTGTGGTAGTATTTTCTGGACCCAAGAACGTCCAGAGCATCAACGCCGTCCATTAACCGATTATACAGGGTGATGATGCTTGGACACACCACAGATAAATGCACTTTCAATTTTCTGCCCATCTTTGAATACTACAAACTGCTTAAGCACTGGCAAAAGTGCTGGCAACAATAACTGCCCTGTTGTCAAACCATTTGACAGCTTTTACTATTATACTTCCTATAACAACTGCCCTTTCTTCAAAAATCCCTCTTCCCATC